CAACTTGCTTGCAAGTAGCTTCGACTTGGGATTTGATGGTGTCGATCACATCAAAGCCTCTCAATGAGTTTTTGTTCGGTCCGGCCGTCTTCTCTCCGGTGAAGCTCGATGTATCGTCCAGCAGAACCGATCCGTCGCAACCCTGTTTTCATTAAACCGAGGCATCAGATTTCTCAAACTATATTCTCCGCTGTATTTTACACGTAAGACACTTTTTTTTAATCAAGTGATGATGTGTATAATTTGAGGGTATAATCAGTATTTTGTACCTACGACATAGTGGAAGTGGAGACGGAGCAGCGATGCTCCCATGCGTCGCTCCTTCGCCACTGCGGCCCTGACGGCAGCGTGGATCGTATAGAGAGCTCCAGGGCATGATGTCTCATAAAATGACGGAGAGAGCTGAGCAGAAGCTAAACAAGCAAAGGAGACGATACAGAACCATGCTGTGCAAGTTGAGAACTTAGCATCGGAAGCCATCGCTAGAGACATTAATTAATTAAGAAGCATAAGGATCTGAGGGGTACTAGTGTCTCAAGCTCTTGTGCATAGTTGCAGGTATTTATAGGGTTTAAGAGTTCAAATCATACCTTGATTAGTCTTAAACTCGATTAGTTAGAAAGTAGGAAGAGGGAGTGAGGGGGCGGCTAGTGAAGGTCAGCATCGCATCATCCACCAACCGTAGACTAAAATGTCTGTTAAACATTAAAGTTATTGTCTTTTTTTTTTTCCTTCTCTTTGACTCTTTTCTAGCATGTATGATTAAAGGGTCGTCACACTTTTGATGCGTGCTCTAAAATATGTGATCAATAAGCAAAATCATGTACGTAAGCTATAAGTCAATAAGTATGTAAAAAGTAAATCTCTATCAAAAATGGAAATTAAAAATGCCAAAAAAAAACTACTTTGACCTCCATTTATGTTTCGGTTAAATTTGAAGTAATTTGCAGAAAGAATATTGCATATTCGCATATATGGTACTCTGACTTTGAAACATATTTGTCCATGAGATTCCTGTTTGATGTAGATGTGTTATACTTTGGTCAGAGTGAGAGAAAAATGACTTGGGAGAGCACTAGGAAAGTGCTTTGACCTTGATTACCAAATTATTTAGGCTGCTGCAAGGTCTTAACAGTGCATTATTGTTAGTGCTAATTGGAGCAGTTGAAGACTTTTTGACGCTAATTGTGGTGTGAACGTAGGTACGTAGGGGGAATCTTTAGTGCAGAATAGATATTCTTAAGAGGATGTCATTTTCCTAATACATATCTTGAAATTTTGAATCCCAAGCTGGCTCATATTTGCATGATCCCCAAACTTGGCACCTAGCTTGTCAAAAGCTGTAGCACTAGCTTCTTATTGTCCTCACCTTTTTCTTTTTCTTCAATTTAGTGATTAGTTAGTCAAAATGGATGTGGGGGAGTTTTTGGATATGACGTGAGCGAATTTGGATAAGCTAGCTAAGTTTGTTTTGTTCATTCTAATTACAACATTTATGGTTATTTTTGTAGTTCGTCTTCATTTTCTTTTCGCTCAAAACAAATCACGGCCATCCGAAGAAATAGATCGATGATCGCATAAATAAATGCTTATGATTGCAGAATATATATAAATATTTTTTTAGTGGAGAAAAGTCCAGCCGCATTAGGTAATTAATAAGGACATTAATTGTTTGGTTTAAGGTGTTGTTATATCTTACATTTTTGCATTCAGCTTGGCTGCGTGAAATTATTAGCCTGCGTGATTTGCAATCCAAGGTCAAACAAGGTCTCTCGTCGAGCTGTACTAGATTTTCGTTACGCGTGACAGAAAAAATTCCATAATGATTACTCAATTCTTTTGTACGCGCGACGATTAATGAAATCTCAATCAAGCCAAACTTATTATTCTTCATATTAATTAAATCCCAGCATTACCATTTTCATTTATATAGTTCTTTGGCTAGACAATAGGTTCACATGCTAAACGGTAGGTCGCCAAATGTTTGGTAGCCATCTGACAACTTGAACAGTAACAGCCACAATCGATCACTTTTAAATGTCTTTGAATAGTGCACTAATTAACGCAAATGATCTTTTAACGGAAAATTTCCAATTGGTCCTTTTGGAAACCTTTCAATTTATTATTCTTCATAATTCCCATTTTTCGAATGCTTTATGTTGAAGTGAATGGTTAAACCATAAAATTTAAAACATTAATTTGTGAGCAGTGCTTACCCGCCTAACTTCATAATATTACATTTCGGTTGGAAAAGAAAGGGTGAATAGTAATAAAATTGCGTCTGTGCAAAGTTTTCAAGCTTTTCTGAAGCGTAATAATTTACGAATTACACAACTATTCAATAAGCAAAAAATGTTCAACACCCTTTTTTCACACTCCAAAAACGCAACCAAACACAGCAGCGAACACATAAAACATAAGCAACATGTTTCCACGCTCTAAACAGGGCATGTAATTTTCAAGATCATGATTTTTCAACAAACATTACTAATGAAATTCCTCCCCAAAAAAAAAAAATTAATAAAATATTAGCTCAACAAAAGAGCAGGTTGCTTCAAAAGTCAGCCTCCTCTAATCCACTTGTTATAAAGTATTAACAGCAACGAGTATTAAATATCACGGGACAGTCTGGAATGCAGCTCTCACAAATATACGATGCACATCTTATAATAATGATTTACCACAGAGAAACAAGAAACTAAACTCAGCTTGTATTCATTTAGCCAAAAGTAGATATCGTAGGGCTACAGGAAACTCAACTCAGCTCTATCAAAACTAATACTCTTAAAAGCTTAGGGAGTAGTTGCTGGCATTTTCTCAGTCTTGATTGTCCTCACTCACAAGCCTTCTAATTGGCAATTCGTTGCTACTACAATCTACGCGCACCATGATAGAGAGGATTGAGAGGTCTGTTGGTGGGAACTTGCTAGGATTAGGTCTTCTCACTCAATGCCTTGGGTGGTCTTTAGTGATTTCAACATGACATTAAGTCTAGATGAGAGAAGCGGTTGAACAGACTCCATTAGAGACATCTCTTCCTTCAAAAATCTCATGGATTCTATTCATCTCATTGACCTCTCCCTCAGTGGGAGAAAATTCACTTGGTCTAACTTAAGAACTCTGTCCTTGCTAGATTAGACAAATTCCTCCTCTCCTCAGACTTTGAAACCCACTACCCTAACATGATCCAATATGTCTACCATTCTTCCTGTTCTGATCACTACCCCATCGTCCTAGACTCTGGAAGCCCTCCGCACCATCCAGTGTTCAGATTTGAAAAATCTTGGCTTGTTTACCCATCCTTCACCCCTTTCATTCAATCCTATTGGGACTCCTTCTCATTCAATGGTGATCAATCAACCTCCCTCTCCTTTAAGATCAAACTCATCCGTAGGAGAATTAAATGGTGTAAAAAACACTCCTTTGGGTCCTCTAAACATCTCAAACTCGACTCCCTGGCCAGTCTTGACTCCCTTTGCCGGATAGAAGAATCCAGAGCTCTCGCTGAACAAGAATATCATCTTAGATTCAAGCTGAAAGAAAAACTATTCTTTTTGGCTAGGCCTGAAGAGATCGAATGGAAATAAAAATCTAGGATCCAATGGCTCAAGGAGGGGGATGGTAACACTGCCTTTTTCCATAAAACAACCTCATATCATAGAAGGAAAATTTTCATCTCTCACCTTTCACCATAGAAGAGATCAAGAAAGCAATATTTGACCTACACCAAGACAAATATCCAAGGCCTAACAGTCTACCCATCCTCTTCTTTCAAACTTTCTAGTCCACAATCCAACAAGACATTTTTTTTCATTCATCCAATCCCTCCACTCCAGTGCTCAATCACTCCATAACATCAACTACTCTTATATTTTGTTAGGTCTCATGTTATGAGCCTACATCTACTAATCTTGTTTTGATGATTACAAACAATTCCTAATATTGTTTGTCTAGTGTTTATGTTTTCTTATTAGGTATTCTAGACAAACAATATATTGGAGGTTGGATGGATTGAGCCTACACGATCACATCAAATGGAGGTTGGCGGAATATTGGTATGAATCCATTGCACATCAAGTCATATTCAAGATCAAGCTTCATCCGCAACCAAGTCAAGTATATTGAAGATCTATCAAGCTTGGGTAAATTAGTTCAGGGTTTATACTTTGTGTGTTAATATCTTAAGCTTAATATTATACACACACAATTTAATGGTTTATGTGTTTTATCCATAAAAGTTTTTGCAAACAAATAGATATATAATACTCATTTGTTTTCTATGTGGATAAGTTGTTTTGGTTTAGCTATATAGATATGAAGAAATATATATCTTCATTTTCACATTTATATGCTTTATATTCTATTGAATTTGCAAAATATTATGTTTATGGATTGAAGACTTACTTACACTATTTTCATATCTTGTATAAGTCTATAAATCCATTCTAAAGTGTTTCAAAGTAGTGTTTAAGTCATTTTGAAAAAATCAAGTTTTTAACATGTTCATACTTGTGTGATTTTGCAAAATGATGAAATTTCACATTTGGGAGATGCTTTTTAAAAACCAGTTTTTGTTACATGTGTATTATCATGTCTACAATCATTTCCCAAAGTTTCATAATTTTTAGAATTTGTTTACTATTTTTAAAGGCAATTTGAAAATCAGGTTTCTGCTTTAAACAAGCTGTATACTTGTTATCAGTCGACTGGTCAGTCGACTGATGAAATCAGTCGACAAATCAATCGACAAATCAGTCGACTGATGAAAGTGCCTGCAGTTATCAAAAGTTTTTATTTCATTTTGGTCGACTAACCAGTCGACTGATGATCTATCAGTCGACTGATAAAGGTCGTCAGTCGATTGATGAGCTAAAAAAATACCTACAACGGTCAGCTCATCAGTCGACAGATGAAACCCATCAGTCGACTAATGGCCTGTAATAACTATTTTTTCAGTTTCCGTTTGTTTGTCTTTTTGTTGGGTTTCACTTGGGATTTGAGCTTTGTTTCTTCATCCTATATATACCCTATACCATTTCACTTCTGAACTAAGAAGAGAAGTTTATCCTATATATACCCTATACCATTTCACTTCTGAACTAAGAAGAGAAGTTTTAAAACAAGTTTAAAAAGAGTTTTAGTTTGACTTCTGAACTAAGAAGAGAAGTTTTAAAACAAGTTTAAAAAGAGTTTTAGTTTGTTTTAAGTGTTTGTTTACAAAATTAGTTTTATGAAGATTGTTTTACAAGAAGAGGAGATCAATTTCAGTTTGGGCTTTCAATCTTCATATCCCTCTCTCTTGTGATTAGAGAAGTATTTCTAAACTCATATCTCTAGCTTGTTTATACTTTAAATTGTTATATTCATATTTGCTAGATTTAATTAAGTTTATATTTGATTTTCTAATTGTTTGTACACACAACCATTGAGCTTAACTATTTTCACATACTGTATAATTTAGGGTTGTGGTGAGTGTAACCTTGAGAGTGAGCTTAAATTGTGTTCTCATCTATTATAGAGAATAATT